TGACGTGAATAATTTTTAATAATAATATTTTTTTAATTTTACGAATTTATTATTTTCTTTATTTTTTTTTGTTCAAAGGGTCAGCGGAGGCTTGGGCAAGGGCCATGAAGCCCTCGCCAGCCAGGGGCAAGACCCTCGGTAGATCCGGCAAGGCGAGGGGCGTGGTGGCCCTTGCCTTGGCCCTCACCAACTATAGTGAGGGCGGGCGTGATGGTGCGACGCCCTTGTTGTGGCCCGCAAGGGGTCGTGACCCCTCGTCGGCCTTAGTGAGGAGTTGCGACCCCTCACCTCGCTAGATTTAGCATGGCTCGCCGACCCTTTGAGCCAAAAAATAAAAAATAAAAAAAGAAAAGAGAAAGGAAAATTAAAACTTAAAAAATAATAAAAAAATAAAAAGTTCGAAAAAAATATTAAAAAATATTGAATTTTTTCCACGTCAATGCCGGTTGTGTCATGTAGGACGGCCGGCGTCCACGTTAGCAAATTTCGTCCAAAATTGATCGAATAGACTTAATTGGTGAAACTTGAAAGTGTTTAAGACTCAATTGGCAAAATTAAAAAGGTTTAGGATTGAATTGGCAAAAGTTGAATAATTTCATGACTTTGTGGATAATTTTTCCCATTCCTTCATGCAGACTCACAACATGTCTCGTTAGCTTCAAACTCTTGTAACAAAACCACGGGGCGCTCAATCAAGAACGCACCACAACCGCCAGAGAACTAAACTCACCTGAGGCCGAATATCCGATCCAAGATCGAACTTCCAATCGCGGTAGTACGGGAACAATGCCGTCCGGCTCTGGCCAAGGACGTCAACGCAATCGGAGCCGGAGCCATCGCCGCGCGACGAGCGGAATGGCACGTTGGAGCCCCCGCCGTTGTCCATGCCAAGGAACTCGAGGCGATCGGGAGACCAGTGGTTGACGGGATCGTAGAGGCCGCCGCACCATTGGAGGAAGAAGGCAAAGCAGGCAAGAGTCAACGGGAGGACGGTGAGGAGGAGGAGGAGAAGGCGCGAGGCGAAGGCCTGGTGAGACGACCGAGAGGAGTGGTGACCCGCCATTGCAGGAGGTTGGCGAGAGAGAGAGAGATGGACGACTGGTGCAATGACTGTATCATCTCTGTAGCATTATGTAGAGAGAGACATTGAACTTGCAGGAGGAAGATGAAAGGAATGTCACTCGGAGCCATTTTGTTTTGGTGTTAGCGGTGTTGTTAATTCCCTTCCTTTTCTTTTTCACTTTGAAATCACAAAATCCATTTAAAAAAGGAAAGAAAAATAAAGAAATGCAATATGAGATTTCGCTATAAATGAAACTGGTCTACTAATAAGAAAGAGTGATCTAGATACACGTGAATAGATTTCAAGAATTTAGATATCAAAAAGCAAAAATAAATGTGATTGGAACATTGAAATTGACTTCACAAGAAACAAATGTAATTAATGTCGGCTACATTAATTGCTTTAGTAAAGATTTTATTCATCAAAGATGATGATTGTCCGTTCTAAAATTATTTTTCTTTATCTGTTAAAGCATCTAAATTGTGGAAACAGAGATAGGTCGATATTCATGGTAATCTTGAATTTGCTAGAAATAAGCTTAGATCATAGTTATGAGTTTTAAGGATTGCATCTTTAAGGACAGATAAGTAGATTCCCGTCCTGGATTCTAGTGTGTAACTAAAGAATGGTCAATTCCATGCATAGTTTCCATTTTCCAATCCATTATGAAAATTTAACACTTGTAATTATGAATTAATGGCTCAACAAAAGTGTATTTAAAATTAGAGGTGGGTATGGTTTGAGGTTCTACCCTGGAACCTAAGAACCAAACTGGTGGAAACCTGTAGGTTTTGGGTTCCGGGTTCAAAAAATTGATAAACTTATTTCGACGGGTAAGTTCCAGATTCTAAGTAGGTGGAACCTGGAACTGGAAACCTGGAACCTTAAACATTAAACAAGTTTTTTGTATTTTTTCTTGGTTTATGTATTTGAGTGATCTTGCAGTGTTTGATGGCGTTTGATGATGAGTGTATAATCTGGAACCACTAGTCTGAACTTTTATTTTATGAATTGTTAATGTTTTATATTTTTTATGTATCTAAATATAAGTTGTGGTAAGTGAATCGTAACAATAAGTGGTAATTATTAAAGGTGATGATTCACTGCAATTGTTCAATTAATAATACAAATGGAACCTGGGTGAACTCTGAAACCAATTCTAGAACCCGTGATAGGATAGGTTTCAGGTTTCGAAGTATGTAGAGTAGATTCCAGGTTCCAACAAATGATGAACTTGTTTCCAGCTCATCCCTATTTAAAATTATAACTCTTAAGTTAATGTCCTTTCAGTTTTCTGCTACGGTTTTCTTTATCCATTGACAGAAACTAATCACCTTAAGGGGATTCAGTAATCCATACCTCACATTATGTTTAATTTTGTTACAATCTGTTTAGTTTTTCCCACATGATGTTGGTCAAAGTCGAATGACTGTGGCGGCTAGCCAATGCAACTTTGGGCAAGAGATGAAGGAACTCTCGCGCCTTTCCTCGTTTTCGAGACTGCATCTCTTAAAGAAGATGGCCCAGGGACTTTCCCTAGTTGATGCCCAGCACAAAGTTAGGCAATAACCCATTTACTCTATCCAGTAATTACGTTTGTCAGAATTAATTTGTTATCGCTTTCTCAAAGTTATTATTGCCTATTAATTCCTTTACTTGTTACAACAAACAGTATTATTGTATTGGATCCAACATTGATCACATCACCTGAAATTGTGTTGTAAAATATGAACGTCTTGGTCCACTTATTAAGCACTAATTTGAGAAAGTTGAATCTGCCTGCGAGCATCGATTTCATGTGATTCCATGAAATCAAGATACTCGCGAATCTCGATAAAAGAGCTAGAGTGACGCCCTTTGAATGGACAAATGATATTAATTTCACCAAAATTTTGAATATCCTAACTAGCGCAATTAACACATCTTTGTTACACCCTTATGTCGATTTTCCTCCGTTTGCATTGTTCTAAACAAAAACCTTTAAGGCATATTTAGGCTCCATTTATTTCGCGAAAAATGTAACATTTGTAAAAAAATATTTTTTTGGAAGTCATTTTCCAAGATAATAACAACATTTTCTGGTGTTAGGCTGGGATCTAAAAATGAACTGGAAAGTATTTTCTATCGTGTAATAAAGAAAATCTCATTTGGTTGAAAATTGCCGACATAAACAATTTTTGTAATTTTATAAAAATTTTCAAATTTTTTATTTCTTTTCTTTTTCTTTCTTCCTTTGCTAGTTGCCTGGTCTTGGAGATAGCCGGCGATAGGCCATAGGCAAGGGCTGACCTCGTCGGGATGTGGCGAGGCTCGCCCGAAGGCTGGCGTGGCTCAACCTCATCAAAACTGGCAAGCTCAAGCCTTGCCGGCCCGTGCCTGTGGTCGGTTGTTGAGGTCCGGCGACCGGTAAGAAGAAGAAGAAAGAAGAAAAAGAAAAAAATATATTAAAAAAATTTTGGCCTCGATGGACAAGGCGCAAACGTCAAGGACCCAGGCTTGGCCTTGATATTATTGAGCCTGGCCTCAATGGATCGGAGCACGGCCTAGATGGACCCGGGCCATGGCACTGGATTCCCAACCCCGGCCTCGATGGACCATGACGGCAACTTGCCAATATTACGTTTCAGCTAAGGGCGCGCATGGTAATATTTCTGTTTCTTTATTTTTCTATTTTTCTGTTCCCAGAAATATGTTTGGAACAGAAATTCGTTTGGTAACGCAATTTCATTTTTCTATTTCTGGAACAAATTTCTATTCCAGAAATAGGTTTGGAACAGAAATCAGAAGTAAAAAAAATTTACTTTTTTATTTCTGGAACAGAAATAAGAAATAAAAACTTTTCTTATCGCTAGCCCTCGCTACTTGCCGGTTATCCCCTTGCCACTCGCTATTGCCGCCGGCCGCCTCCCATCACCGCTGGCCGCCTCCCGCCACCGCCGGTCGCCTCCCGCCACCGCTGGCCGCCTCTTGCCGTTGGCCGCCTACCGCCGGTGTCCTTCGCCGACTGCCTCCTCCCACCGCCATCTTCCGCCGTTCGCCGCCGCCCAACACCGGCCGCAACCCTCCCACCGCTGCCTCCTGTGTCCTTCGCCGCCACTGTACGGCCGGCTCCCAGCTAATGGCCGTAGCCGGTCACCTCTCGCCGCCGTCCACCCAGTCAGGTGTCGTCCACCGTCGGCCGTCTCTTGCGGCTCAGACCACCGTCCTCCGCCGCCGATAGCCGTTGGAATTTGCCACCGTGGCCGGTCCTCCGCCCAAATCGGCGCCGCCTCCACAGCCTTGAGTGCCGGCCACCCTCCGCCCAGTCGGCCGCCGACCGCCGTCGTCCGCAGTCGGCCGCCCGGCCGCCGTCGTCCGCGCCGTCGGCCGTCGTGCTCCACCGCCCCGAGGCTTAGGCGGCCTCCGGTCACCCTCCGCCGTCGTCGGCCGCGCGTTCTCCCGCCCTCGCCGCCGGCCGTCGTGCTCCACGCACCCTTCGCCGCCGGCCGCCATGCTCCACCACCCGGCACCGGCCGCCGGCCGCCATCATCCACCGCCACCGGCGGGCCACCTCCCATTGCCGGCCACTGTCCTTCGCCACCCGCCGTCCTTCGCCAGTTGCCCGGAACGGAGAAATTTTGTGTCGTTATCAAATAAATTTATATTTCGGAAACAGAAATTTTGTATCGTTATCAAACACGCATTTTTGCTTAGAAATTCGTCCACGAAATAGAAATAGAAAAATATATTTCTGGCCATAAATTAATTTTTGGAACAGAAATATTACCATGCGTGCCCTAAAAGGACAAAGGTCAAATCTCAATGTTGAACATCTGCCTTAAACGAAAGTCCACCCACTAAAGGCACGTGGCGGAACATGATTAGGAACCATGACGCGTATGAATCCGACGTGGCTCTAAAGCGAGGTCGAGCTCGACCAAGAGAGAGATAGAGAGAGAGAGAGAGAGAGAGAGAGAGAGGAGGTCACTGAGAACCAAAGAGACTGTATTTTTCCCTTCTTCTCTTCGCTGAGCGACTCACAAGATTCAGCCATGGCAGCTCGCAAGAGAGCTTCCGTCTCCTCCGACGAGACCCTCAAGGCCCCGCCCAAACCCGCGGACGCCGCGCCGGTCGATCCCCCAATCGCCCCGCCGAAGCTCGGCTTCATCCTCAAGCTCGCCGCCCTCTTCCTGGTCCCCTACCTCTACCTGATCGCGCGCCACTTCGACATCGATCGGGAGCTCAGGAGGTCGATCCTCATCAACGCCGGCCTCAGCCTCGCGGGGTTCTTCGCCACCGTGAGGCTGATCCCCGTCGCTTCCCGATACGTCCTGAGGCGCAACCTGTTCGGGTACGACATCAACAAGAAGGGAACGCCTCAGGGGACCGTGAAAGTGTGAGTAGTTTTTTTGCACGAATTCCGCGATTTTAGCTGCAAATTTTCGATCTTTGTCGAGGTTGGAAATGGAATCGGCTGGTTTTGTACTGCGTTTGGATGCTTGTATTAGAATTTCCTCACGGTCGCGTTGTGTATGTTACATTGAGCTGGATAGGAGTGGGATTCACTTGGCCTCATGAGTCGAAGTCGCTCGTACTAATTTTAGGACCTGTTGCATTTGTGATGTGGTTATTTGTGGTTCTCAGTAACGTGATTTACTTTTGCATTTTCATTTCCTACATTATAGAATTTAGTATTGCGACATCTCTACAGTTCCAATGGCTTGAATGAGAAGCCGTAATTTGGAATTGGGACACTACAGCTGCAAATGATGTGGTCTTGTCTCATTAGGCTGCAGATTTAAGTTATATCCTAAACTATAAGTAATGGAATTTTGTGTTTTCTTGTGATATACGCAAGTTGTTCATTGCTTATTTGGAATCATTTGATTCATATATATTGTTCACCTGGCATGTGGTTATGGAAGGCATAAACTCACGTTTCCATATGTAGTTGGATCAGTCAGTAAATATGATTCTTCCAATTTTGTGGCTCTTCTTTGGCTAATGTAGTGGTGATACTTGTTGATATGCAGGCCTGAGTCGCTGGGTATTGTTGTTGGGATCGTATACTTGGTCTTGGCAATTGTGTTCCAGTATTTCAATTTTACAGCAGATTCAAATGTAAGTTCTCTTGTTTGAATGGTTGACGAGCACGATTATTAGTTGGCTGGCTCTTGTTGTTTCATGGAGTAGTTGACTTTTGATAATCAATTGCGCCTCAAAGAGAACTTCTTTAGTTTCTTCCTAAATTCAAACTTTTGGCATGCTGCACTTTTCTTAACTATTATATATTTCTTTTTTGCTCCCTTTTTGAGCTCATAAATTTTGTTATACTGAAATTTGAGCTGCTAACGCAATTCTCTTACCTTATTCTTCATTATGTGTTGCCTCAGCTTCATGACATGAATCCTGCCATCTTCCTGAACACGACTTAAAATGCGTAGGGAATAGTTCCTTCATTTTTTTTGTCTGGTTGTTTAATTTGTAAATGCTTGGTTAAGTCATGCCAATTTCCAACTGGTGCTTCCTTTCTCCATCTTAACTTCTCCCGTAAATAACTCTTGGTGTTATCAGATTACGTCTAAAGCATTGGTAACACTGGATTTATCAAGTTCTTCTCCACCATGTATTTTTCAGCTCTGAGCTCCTCCTCTGCTAATTGAAAATTAAAATTCTACTATTTACTTTGTGCAGTGGCTTGTTGAGTATAATGCAGCGTTGGCATCAATTTGCTTCATGGTTTTGCTTGGTTTTATGGATGATGTCCTTGATGTTCCCTGGAGAGTGTAAGTATCTGTCAATCCTCCATCATTATCACATGATATGAGAATATACTTCAATATTAGGAGAAAACTCATGTTGGTATAAGAAGCTCAACCATTCATCACATGGTTTATGTGAACAAATTATGAGATGGAACTGACTCTATTCTGGATTTCCTTCTAATTTGCAAGAACAGGAAGTTAATCCTACCATCATTTGCTGCTCTTCCTTTGCTGATGGCCTATGCTGGACATACAACTATTGTCATACCAAAGCCTCTTATTCCATACGTTGGTATGGAGATATTGGACTTAGGTATGTATTAGAATCATAGTTCACAAGTCTCAAGCAGTGAATGCATTCAATGCATTTGCTTTCCATGCAATTCTCGATTTCTTTCCCACCCTCAAGGTGATCTATTTTCGGGAATTGTATACAGTTGGACACGATATTTAGAGTGGACATGCATGTTGATGTAGATAACTCTTATAGCTGTTCTCCAAAAAGTCCCATTGGAGCATAAGTATACTGACCTACTGAGATAACATAGATTGAGCTAGCTATCTTTTTTTTTTTTTTTTTGGTAACCCGGGAACCCCCCGCACGGCCGACAGCCGAGGAGGTAAACCCGGGGTGACGCTAGCGCAGGACCCACCACCACAACTTCACGCTTAAGAATCCTTGACGCCAGCGCTGGGATTCGAACTCCTACCCTTCGTGGGGGGAGGGGAGCCCGAAGCCAGCGCAGCCGCTGAGGGCGGTGGTAGCTAGCTATCTTTTTGTCACTGACTTAAGTAAAAAAAGAGAGGTTAAAACCTAATTTTAATTTATCCGTTGGTTGCAAACTCATAATGGGTAGTGTAAGTAATGTTGGACATAAGGAGAGGATTAAACATGAGCAATCACCAAGATGTTTGTTGTTGTCTTGTCCGTCGAGTTGCTTATCCTCTATGTTGCAAATCTAATTATTATCTGGACAGGATGGATTTATAAGTTATACATGGGACTTTTGGCGGTGTTTTGCACAAACTCCATCAACATTCACGCTGGCTTAAATGGTCTTGAAGTGGGTCAAACAGTTGTCATTGCAGCTGCGGTAAGCATGAACTTATGAGTATTTAGCATCCCATTATATAAGAATCTGACACATTTAATCCATTTACAGATTCTGCTGCACAACATTATCCAAATTGGAGCATCGAAAGATCCCGAGTACATGCAGGCTCATGCATTTTCTATTTATCTTGTTCAACCAATGTTAGCCACATCCTTGGCTTTACTTTCATACAATTGGTAATCAATGAATACTTATCCTTGGTATTTTGAATGTGTTATTAGTATATGTGGAGAACCAACACCTGATAAAGCTCGTGTCTCTGCCCAATATAGGTATCCATCTTCAGTTTTTGTTGGAGATACATACACATACTTTGCTGGGATGACAATGGCAGTGGTTGGGATATTAGGACATTACAGGTAGGCCCTTTCTTGTGGCCTTCCACATCTTAAAGATGCGCTTTAACTGTTTAAGGAGATATCAAGTGCAGGCATAGGCGAAAGTGCTTTTATCTTTTTTCAGTTATTTAATCTGTCTTACCTGCATATGCTGTCTTATGCAGCTGAAATACAAGCATTATTCTAGTTATTCTGCAACAGTTAGAAAACTATTATATACTGCCTATACTTTGTTCCATAAATGATTTTCAGCGAGTTATTCTTTGTAGATCGTATTCCAAACCGAATGAATTAAGCCGTGCGATTAGCTGTTTAGACTCTAGAGAAGTGAAATATTATGGGGCTCTGCTCATAAATCCTGAAAATACTTGATGGTTCATTACATGTCTTTTGACCAGACTGTTAGAAAATTGTCCCCTGATGGTGATATTCCCCTTTACGTATGCACAATTAGCTGTTAAATTATCAATGGAAAATGAGAGCTGCTGTTTTATATACCGATACCATAAAAGTCATTAGTTACGTCGTCATCGTGTGGGTCCCAATTTTTACCTTAGGCGAAGCTTTCGCTCGGTCCCAAAATTGAAAGTTTTCACCTTTTTTTTTTCTGGTCATCGTTCTGCACAGTTGCATTTGCTATTGCAGCAGAATTATTGGCAATGCTTTGAAGCTAATTATTTTTCCATTTCTACTCAATCTGGTTCAGTGAAACACTGCTGATCTTCTTCCTACCGCAAATTCTGAACTTTTTACTTTCGCTTCCACAGGTTCTCTCTCTCTCTCTCTCTCAATTCTGTGTATTATTGGTGTCGTTTTTTTATCAAGTTTAGCTTCTTTTTCCAGCTAGCAGGATTTGTCAAATGTCCAAGGCATCGTCTACCTAGGTAGTATTATTTACCTCAAAATTTTAGGTTTCCACTATGGTAATAATGGTCTATGTAATTTGATGACCTGATGATTTTATGTTGACGAATTTCAGGTTTGATCCTCAGAGTGGACTACTGACTGGCACCAATGATGGGACACTAGTCAATTTCTTTCTAAGAGCATTCGGCCGGAAAACAGAAAAGTCACTTTGCATCCTTCTTCTTCTGTTCCAGGTTTTTGTCATCTTGCCTCTGATTCTTTACTAGATGAAAGAAAAGGAATCATTTAGGACTCTTGGACCTCTGACCCATAATAAGCAAGGACGATTTTCCATTTTAGTTGTTTATAGGTCCTGCGTATTAACGAGTTTATCTAGTCTAAAAGGTGTTGTTCTGCAACATCTTGCCCTAGTGGGCATGTTAGGTGGTTCTTCGGATGACCATTGATCAGGGTCGCAGGCTGCTAGATGGTTGACCTTTTCCCTCTTTTAGAGACCAATAGTTATATCTATTATAAGTTTTTCTTTTTGCCTTTTTGATAGAAGCATCTATTATTGCCTCAAATGGACATCACATATAATTGGAGTCGGAATGCATCACCTTATTTTTTATTTATCTGCTTAGCCATTCTTCAGGATAGTCACAAATAGATATATGTCAACTTCCGACAGGCCATGGCATGCTGCTTCTGTTTCTTGTTGAGGTGGGTACTTACTGGATGGTACAAGTAGAGTGGTGGGATATGAGTTGTGCATTACTGGTTCTGCTCATGAATTTGTGGAGCTTCACCTCCAAATGGCGGCACATGCTGTATTGTTTGAACTTCAATCACACAGTAACTTCACCCCCTCAGGGCACGCAGATATTCAGGAGAGATGCCAGAGATTTATAGCTTCGATGGAGTTGAACTTGATTTTGACACGAGATGGTTAAAAAGTATGCTCTCTGACCAGCATGTTTTGTATTAGCTTTGTTGAGTTGTTTAAAATGAGTGCAAAGTTGAAGAGTCTTTGCAATTCTTAAGCCGCTTGTAACCATGCTTTTACAGCTCACTTTTATAGTTGAAGATATTGATTAGTTCTCTTAAGTTTCTTTCTCAAAGCAGTGTCTGAGATATGTGATCGGACAAATGTAAGATTTCGGCAGGGTATTCCGGCAGAAACATATAGTATTTTGACGGAGAAACTGTCTTGTAATTAGCAAAGATAGATACTAAGATGGGTTCGTTCATTGTCCTCGGTCCAAATTTTACCAAAACAACTTATTATACTTATATAATGAATCCCACGTATTATATGGATGAGCTCAAATGGCTTTTGCGTGTGTATGTGTGTCTTTAAATCCATATATAATGAGGAAAGTGGGTGGGGAATAGTATTTGGGTGATGTGGCTTAATACATAATTTGTTCTTGTTCTTTTTTTTTTTCCTCATTTTGGTTGAGCGTTGGTAGGTGAAATCTTTCCTTAATAGTTTTTGTCGTTTCTTTTGTTTTTGATATTAGAAGTGGTGAGTGATTTTCCAAGATGATTTTTGTATGTCCAATCCGTAAACAATATTGGGAATTCAACCCTTGTTTTTGATATTTTGGCTAGTGAGTTCAAAATTAAAAGTTTGATGAACTATTCAATCTTTTGAAAGAAACGGAATAACTCTGAGCATTGTGGTAAATCTACCTGATGAACAATTAGTTGACTTTATTTTCAAAATTTGATGTAAATTTTATATTAATCTTCATCTACGCCAGTAATTAGTGAATCCATCTATTATAGAATAAATATGTGAACTTCCATAGACATTTTCATTGTAATCTAACGGAGTATTTGGAACCATCTTTGATAATTTGAACGACGGGAGCGCATTAAACTCCATTTGCTCTCTAACGATTGGATCCTCAAGGATCTCTAAAAGCAAAACAATTGATGAAGAAAAATTCAATCAATCGTTTCTCTAATTCTTTTTAGTGTAAAATAATATAAGCAGAATAGACGTGTTCATGGGATCCAAGCCATTCCATTTTCAATTGCTTTATATTGCTTGACTTTTAAATTATTTGATCCATTATATATTTCACGTGCATTATATTTTTTGGGATAAGCGCATTATAAGTCTTAAAACTTGTCACGAAAGTGCAATTGAATCCTAAAACTTTCAAAATGTGCAATCAAGTCTTAAAAATTTCAAAAAGTGCAATCGAGTCCTAAAATTTATTGAGAAAGTGCAATTGAATCCTAAAACTTTTAAAAAGTGCAATCAAAAGAATAACTTAATTGGACTAACTTGACAAGTTTTAGGACTTAATTACACTTTTTGAAAGTTTTAGGACTCTATTGTATTTTGTGACAAGTTTTAGGACTTAATTGCACTTTTTAAAAGTTTTATGACTCAATTGCACTTTGATGACAAATTTTAAGACTTTCAATACACTTATCCCATATTTTTTCAATTATCGTCTCTTGCTACATTAAATCTACAAGTCGGTATAACTTTTCACCGTAGGAGCGCAAGCAAATTTGGAATTTTTAACAAACTAAATTTCCTAATGAGTTCCAATGAACAATGCAATGCAATATATAAGTGAAAGATGCAATTTTCTTTTTTGTTCTATGGCTATAACGATTGGTATGGAAATGAGGAAGCGGTACCTTATAAAGTGTCTTCTGCTTGTTCCTAAGACATAATACACTCCACATCAGAACGTTCCTTGCATCACAGGGTCAAAATATAGAAAGGGGCAGAAACTACTGCTAAGATATTTGGGTAAATATATTCGGGGCACCCAATCAAAAACTATGGTACAAGCAAGCTAGAAACGCTTTTAAACGTGGAAAATAAAGTTGCTAAATATGATGCCTCAGATCTGCCAAAATGTTTACAAACTCTCGACAGGATCAATTTCAGTGCTCCCCCCAAAATAGTACATGCTAACTGAAACCGAATTTAGTCGACATCCATGGCCCGTTCCTTCATGTCGTCGGTACTAGTCCAAAGCTTAATTGTTCTGTCATGTGACACTGTAACGATATGACTTGCATCTGCACAAAAAGTACATTCATGAGCAGTTAGCAGGTCAAGAGGAATCCACATTGAGGGAGGAAATACAATCTCAACTGACATAATTCAACAGTGAAATGCTCTGTTTTCTCTATCCTTGGGGGGATAAATCAGTTTGTCATCACAATACCAACAATTTCCCAATGCCAATTACTGAATACTATGGAGTAACCAGTTTAAGAAACATCCGCATTACAGTAAGTTCCAAAAGGCTTTGTAACAACTGAGCAATCAGAGTTCTCACAGATGCACTTGACAGTATTTCTAGATCACAATAGTCGCCAATGTCAGCCTGCGATCCACAGGATCATGACATTTGCTTTTGAATATATTTACCTATTCACCAGCTCATAAGTACACACATGACAATAATAGCAAATATTTGGTTCCCACATCACCAGGGCTGATCAAAATTCAAGGATCATAATCATGCATTACTGGCCAATTAAGACATTGAAAAAGAATACTCATCACAACAATCAAAAGTAAGTCACAACAGAATATAAATGCTTTTTTCTCTGAAACCACGGGGTTTCAGAGCACCTAACCTATCAATTTATCTACTGAAACTTCAAACACCAATCAATACGAACAATATACAGCGCCACCCCCAAATGTTGCTAAGTCATGCTCAACCACCATCACCTCGTACCATCTAATCTGGCCATCATATAAACATTTTTTCTTTTTTTCTTCAGTGTGGGTGCTGGGCATAGACTAAAAAATTGTATAGACTGCCAAATAACCACTAACCACAATAGTTGTTGCATATTGTTCCCATCCCACCCACTTCATCTCTTGAAACTTAGTGCTTTGCGATTGTTTTTCTTGGTTTTGCGACAATCCAAATGTTTAAGAACCTATTTGCTAAAGAAATGAACTAAAAACTGGATAATTTGATTTACTTCCGGAAAGATTGTCCTGAAAGTAGGTATCCTCAAATTGACAGAGCGAATACCATGGAACCATACAGAGGCTCGGTTCATCTTATGGCACATATCTTGCATGCTCAGCCACGTCAAAATTTCCCGACTAAGTGAGTAGAGCACTTATCATATTGCACAAAGTTTTGCATAATCTACCCTCAAAACCATAAATCCAAGAGAATCATAACTATGTTATGCTTGCATAGGAGTGAAGAAACTTACCCGCGGTGATATCCACTGATGTTATTTTGGCTTCATGCACTGACAAAGTTTTCACCGGCTTAAAGTCTCGGGCCGACCAGACCTAATCACATGCAGACGGCAAAAGTTATAAAAACAAGAACAGGTTTTTCTACAGCAATATAATTAAAGGGTGGAAAGCCAATCTAGATACCTTTGCCGTAGTATCATATGACGCAGTAACCAGAAAGTATCCTTCTTGAGGCTCAAATTTCACTTCCGATATAAGATTTGCATGAGCAGGAATAACATACAATGACTTTTTCTTTCTTAAATCCCAAATACGACAGGTATTATCTTCACCACCGGTGGCTAAATGATATCCATTGGGTGAAAAGCTGATTCCCAGAATCTGAAAAGTGTATGGAAGAGGTATAAAAATCAACAGATGACAATATATTGGCAGCCAAGCATAAGTCAGTAACAATTCCAGAGACTCACTGGCTTAACATGTCCTTCCAAAGCAAGGATGCTTCTACCGGTGCGGAGGTCCCAAACACGTGCAAGAGCATCCAGTCCACAAGATGCCACTAAGGATCCATCCTGGTTGAAGTCTATCCCATAAACACTTCTACTATGGCCTTCTTGAAGAAGTAGTTCCTCACCACTTTCTATATCCCACAACCTCCATGTCTTGTCAAAGCTAGTTGTGCCCACGTACTTCCCTGATGGATGAAATGCAATACGACCAAGGCGATCCAGATGCCCCTCAAAAGTCTTCAAGATAGTTCCTTCAGTATTCCATAACTTTGCAGTCCGGTCAGCAGAAGCAGTTGCTATAAGATTTTGCACCGGAGAAAAGGCCACATCAGTAGCACGTTCTGTGTGACCCTTCAATGTGGACACTTTATTCACTTGAGGCATGCGACATGTGTCCCATAACTTAGCAACTCCACTCATGGAACTAGCAGAAGCAGAAAAAGCTAAGCTAAGTGATTCTCATACAATTGCAAAGTCAATCGCTAATGTTCAAGTCTACCCATGAAATATTATTTGGAAAGCCTGATTCCTAATTCATAATGAAAATGCATAACGAAGTCATGCTCAACACTACTCAGCATGATCAGGGTGTACAGCTATCACATAAAGTCAATGAGATTTCATCCCTCGAGAGGCAATTTGGTTGGTTGAAATGTGGTCCTGGCGGGTGGACAAAGAGCTTCCAAGATTCAAATAAGCACTTATGCACTCTAACACGCATGCATCAAGGAGAAGATAAGCAAATTACCATGTGGCAAGCAGCTTTCCATCATGGGAGAAAGAGCAGCCTGAAAGAGGTCGATCATCACCAATCTCACTGCAATGCAAGGACAAGCTCTCTGCCTTTTTCAATGCCCAATCTATCTCTGCATCCACATCCTCATCAGGGTCATCCCTTCTCCTTCTTGCACGTTCAAGACGCAGTGCAGCCCTCGCGATCGAAAATTTTGCAATATCTATTCTAGCATCCAAAAGAGCTTTAGATCCTTCGGTATAGAATGGATACTGAAGCATCTCTTCCTCGACATCCTCCGGAGCAGCGGAAGCAGCAGCCTCCTCATCCTCATGGGCTTTCATGAGCTTCTCGAGCTGTCCTTCAGCATCTAATTTAGCCATAAGCATCCGCAGCCGGTCCCGCCTTTCCATCTCTCTTTCCCCAAAGAGGGTCATAGGTTCTCCGAGCCGGCGAAGACGGGCACGTACAGCCTTATCATTAGTAGGCACCGCCAGAGCAGCACCGCGCCGCTTCATCATCAGATCCTGCATTGCCTTCTCATGCCGCTCCCGCACCAGCCTGCTCTCCTCTGTAATCTCATACTCCGCGGTCGACCCAGGAACAGCGCCCGCACGCCCCGCGTCATCATCGTCAGAGTCCGAGCCGCTACTGCTTCCAGCCTCTTCTTTCTTGGGCGCAGGAGGCCTGAAAACGGGAGGGCGGATGGGCAGAGGCGCCAGGGGTCGAAGGACCGGAGGAACTGCAGGAACAGGAGCCACCTGAGGCACCGCGGGAGGCGGGATTGCGGGCGGAAGAATCGGTTGAAGGGTAACACTATCGACAGCAGAAGCCAGAGCCTGACTATCCACAGCGGCATCGGTAGACTCCGCGAGGGCATTCAAATCTTCGAGATCCTCTTCAACACCCATGACAGCTGAGAAGACAAGGTTCAAAACGAGGCGCTCATCACAACTGGAAAGGAAGAAAAACAAAAAAAAAAAAAACACCCAAAAAGCTGCTTCAAGGGTTTCTTCGACGGCCGTACCGAATTCAAGAGCGCTAGGCAATCGACTCGATACAGGTCCAACTCGAATCAACACTTCCAGGCGCGCGCGCGCGTTGCTAGTAAACAAAAAAAAAAAACCACGCATCAAGCAGAACCCAAGCAAATACACACGACGCCCTAACAATAAGACGGAAGCTGGTAAGAGATTCAGCCACCCAAAACCCGTCTTTTTCAAGAGCAAAATCGGGGAGGAGGAAGCGGAAGCTGCACGGGGGAGGAACGCACCAAGGTTCAGGAAATCCTCGCGCAGCAACAAAATGCCCTGCTACGTGAGAGAGAGAGAGGGAGAGAACCTCAAAAGATTGTCAGCTGAAGCTTCCTCTCGATCGTAGTGCGCTGAGAGCGCAGTGCAGTGCAGGAGAACGAGAACGAGAACGACGGAGCTCTCCAACCTCCGACGCCTCGAACGTATACCACCTTGGGCTCTCTGCGCTTCCGCGAGGGATCATCAGATGGCGGGCTCGGGCTGGGCATTCTATGCGAAGTTGTAGTTCAGGCCGGGCCAGGTCATTGGTGGGGGGCTCGGGTCGGATAAACTCTTATCTACTCAAAACGAACATGTAGATCCGGCTTGTAGGGGCCTGTCGAGGTCCGATCAGGCCCACGAAGGAAGCAACAATTGCAGGGCTGGTTCCAAAACAAAAAAAAAAAACCGTACCAACTATACTTTGAGTGATAATTCTGACCCCGAACTTTTCTTTATCTCGATAAAAAATACAAAATTTTACTCGAGTCTCAAATCTGGCCCCCGTGATGTGAAATTTTCAAATTATTCGGGCCAAATTTTTGATTTAAGTGAAAGTTTGTGATTTTTTATGAGACAAAAAAAAAGTTCAGGTCAGAATTGTTACTCATGGTAAAGTTAATGCTTTTTTTTGGGAATTAGACCGCATTTGCATGCGCCTGACTCTCGTGTGGATCTTAAAGCCTACGAAAGACATCATATGTGTGATCAAGTTGATCAGTTTTGAAAGCAGCGAATTTCACATTTAAATCGCAGCATACTTTGATGCACGTGAATAAGGTGATTTAAAAGCATTCGCGAAGGTTAGTCAAATCGAGAATTCGAACGCACGTGTTATAAAATATAAGAGAGCATAAAAGAGTTGAAAGTAGCGGGTGATGATCTCAACTCAATTTTTTTTTTTGCGAGAACACTAATAAAGCGATTGACATGATGAATGCGGCCGCGATAATCGAAAATCTTGATGCTTCGGTCTTTTGGGGTCTCTCCACTCAAAGGGTGTAACCTCTAATCGGATATTCCATAGCAGGCATGATCCTCTAGCTGCTAGAGTTGGTCGCCGCTTTTGGCTCGTCAAGGGAAAAAGACATTGGGTTATATAGCACAAATGGTTCCTAAATTTGTATTTAATGTGCAATGTCGATTCTGAATTTTGGCCTAATGTGTCAATGTAGTCTATAAACAATACGAAAATCTTTATAAGTTCAAGGATCATATTGAACATTGGATCGAAATTCAAGGTCACGGCAAACAAATCAAAAATTTTGAGAATGACCTTGCACAATAAACTAAATTTTAGGGATTGTGTGTCATTTTCTCAGAAAATTTTATCTTTCGCCGGGAACTGGCAAAAAACATCCTAGGACGAAACGACGACGGAGGACACTAAAAAACGCAAAAAGTTAAAAAATCTAAGCTTAGATACTCCTAAAAGGTTTAGCATATTCGGTTTTTTCGTGCGTGAGCTTCTAAAGAACGGCGATTCTCTATTACACTTCCCCCCTGAACATTACGCCGACGATCGCCGCTCGCCGGGAGCTCTGCTTCTCTCCTCTCTCCGACGACCCAATGGCCGTATCGCCGGCGGCGGTTCGAGCCTTGATCCTTTCCTTCACATTTCTGCTGTTCCTGAACCTGCGTCCGATCTCGCCTACGAAGGTCGGATCCGATTCCGGCGCGCCCGGCTGTGACGGCGACTACTACCAGGAGAAGTTCAGGCGCCGGGCGTCGCCGGAGAAGCGCCTCCCGGCGAGGCAGGGGTCGCCGTTCAAGATCGCCCTGTTCGCCGATTTGCACTTCGGGGAGGACGCCTGGACGGACTGGGGGCCCCGCCAGGACGTCAACTCCGTCCAGGTCATGTCCACCGTGCTCGACGATGAGGTTCCTGGTAAGTGCTTGTTCGGATTGGGTTTCGTTTTTCTTCTAGCGCGTTTCGCTTCGTGCTTGGCTCGGCCAGTGATTTGGCGAGTGTAGTGGACAGCCCAGATCCCGGGAATTTGCAAGGATAGTTCATTGGACTCGTGCTTTGAGAATTTGAGTGTGCTGTGGTGGGCGAGCTCAAAACAGTAGAATGCGGGTCGTAAAGAGATCGAATATCGAAGAAGAGGCCATCACTGGGTGAATGGCGAATGACCTAGACCTGCGGTTGATGCGCGTTAATGGTGATCTGGACTGAAGTTGGAAACAATAGAGAGAGGGCAAAAATTTTTCGACTTTTGACAAAAATTAGGACGCTGCTAATAATTCATAGGCCTTAGGATCTTCAAATTTTAGCTCTTGCTGCTGCTATTTCCGTGAATCAGCTTCCAACCTGCTAAGTTTTGTGCAGGGCTTTAATTCGTGCGTTTTGCGACAGACTTGCCTGATACTTTGCCCAGGAAGCTCTTTAAAATAGGGACCTGTCTTTTGTCTGATCCACATTCTGACAAGACACATTGAATTGCGTTGCAGATTTTGTTGTGTATCTTGGAGATGTCATTACGGCAAATAACATTCCGATAGCAAATGCAAGCTCGTACTGGGATCAAGCTCTATCTCCAACAAGATCGAGGGGAATTCCCTTTGCCAGTGTCTTTGGAAACCATGACGATGCACCGTTTGTGTGGCCATTGGAGTGGTTTTCAGCCCCAGGCATTCCTTTGATTCACTGCCCTGTTGCAAATTCATCATTTTCAGGTAAACATCGAGGTTTGCTTACGTATGTTAAAGTCGGCAATGCTTACATTAAACTGCAAATGTTTCTAATAGCCTGAACGCAAGATCATGGACTGGGATATCTTCACATCGATGTGATAGCTAGCTTGATGGAGTCATCGCATGAACAAAAGAAGCAGAAAGAATTGCTAGTATAGTAAATAATTAGATATAAAGTTGCACGGCGCCTACAGTCTTGGAGTCGAATTAACTCGAAAAATGATCTCGTCTTGCAGATACGTGATTTATGTGTTGGTCGTATTTATGCGTGATTTTTCCGTGTGTGATTAGGAGATTGCAGCTTCAGAGGAACACAGCGTTTGCAGCTCATGAAGAATGAGATAGAGCAGAATGCACTGTCCTATTCTAGTAAGGGTCCAGAGGATCTTTGGCCAAGCATATCCAATTACGTCCTTCAGATCTCGATAACGGATAATCCTCAGTCCCCTGTAGCGTACCTTTACTTTCTCGATTCTGGTGGTGGATCCTATCCAGAAGTAATATCAAAAGCCCAATCCGAATGGTTCAATAACCGATCTCTACAGATCAACCCAGATTCAAGGTACAAAGAAATGATGGCAGAACTTTTATTTATTTCGTATGCACCTATTACTATTACTCATAAACTGAACTTATCCAGTTAATTTTCCCTGGTTTCCAGGAAGAAGCAATCGCGAACGCTGATAATCATATTTCTGTTGCAAAGAAATTTTTTTCTTTTTTTCTTTATAAAAAGATGGAGAAACTGTATAACGAGTGAGCAATTCGATGTTGGTTAGAATATGTATAAACTCTTTCTCCAGTTTTGTTGGGAAAAACAATTTATCACGTGGCACAGGGTACCAGAGTTGATATTTTGGCATATACCTAGTAAAGCTTACGAAAAGGTGGCTCCATGGATCGGTGTACGTAAGCCTTGTGTGGGCTCGATCAACAAGGAGACAGTTGCTTCTCAAGAAGCTGAAGCAGGGATAATGGAAATTCTTGAAAAGCGGCCTTCTGTCAAGGTAATTAATGCCACAAATTGGTTTGTTCATTGATACTTTGACGATCATCTGCTGAGCTGCTTTTATCACCTTGGTTTTTAGGCTTTGTCAACATGCAAGTATTATCTTTAAGCAAGACAGCCATTGAAACAAAAAAAAAAAAAAAGCGGCAACGCTAGATGCTTCAACCACTTTCCAAGACTTGCCTGGTTTCTTCTTTGCATTTTTTTTTTCCCGGTCTGCACATTCTTGCTCCAGATATAAATGCATGTGGCTATACACAAGTTACTCCCGTTTGGTCTTGAGTGCTTTCTTAAGAAAAGAGAAACTTGCTTGTCAAACTTCTTTTACACCCAGTGGAAGCATATGCCGCCACTTTCATGCATTAAGTTTGAGATACTTGAATCTTTGATAAACATTCGTTATTTCAATCTGATATGAGTAAAAGTGTAATTTTTTGTCACGATGGCAGGCAGTATTTGTTGGACACAACCATGGATTGGACTGGTGCTGCCCCTACAAGAAGCTGTGGCTATGCTTTGCCAGGCATACTGGGTATGGTGGCTATGGCAATTGGGCTAGAGGCGCGAGAATTATTGAGATAAATCAACACCCTTTCTCTATCAAGTCTTGGATAAGGATGGAGAATCACGACGTACACAGTGAAGTCCATTTGAGTTCTTAAAAGCGTTCGGTGTACAGTGAGAAAAAAAGCCACGTGATAAAGGACAGTATTCTCATGTACAAATGTGTCTAGCTCTTATAGAGAATGTATAGAATAATAAATTGTTGATTATATCTTGCTGGTTACCCATTCACGATAACCTCGATCACAATATATAACCCATTTCGATGCCTGAAGAGTAAAATCCTTGCAATCATTTGTAATTGAGTTCTAACTCCTCCAAGCTTAGTGTAATATCAATTCATCAAACGGCAGAACAAATTTCCATCAGTGCAGCTAGGCAATTTTGTTTCCATTCGCACACCCTACGAGCTTCTAGAACTACGCCCTTTCCAATGTAAGGACGGTGATGGGAAAAAATCTAGCCTGCTGCACTGTGGAGTGTGGACTCCTAATATCAAACTGAGTTTCCATGCAGCCACAGATCGACCAAGGACGGTGATAGGAAAAAATCTAGCCTGCTGCGCTGTGCAGTGTGGACTCCTAATATCAAACTGAGTTTCCATGCAGCCACAGATCGACCACTATTCTTTGTCTTGTAATAGAGGGTTGTCCTGAAACAAGATGCTGTGCGTTATACCTGCGTTACAGCTATCAAATTATGCTTTTGGAGGTTGGAATCCATTAATATCGAAGTTTATGATTATTAACATTCACTTGTTTAACTAATAGTTGATCATGTGTGATGGGTGTCGAGGATAAACTTTCTTAACTAAATACTCAAAATGAGCAATCTGTCATATGCGTTAGAGGAAGAATTATATGAGACTTTCGTGATTTATTGCGATTGCCATTTTCTCTTCTTTCCTGTTTTTGCATGTTACATACTGCAGCAACTCTCTTATTTTAACATCATTGAGCTCACGATAGGTGTGCCCTTATTCCTTAATACAAGTCGGTGTGTACCCATTAGTTGAAATTAATAGGGTATTTTGGCTGTCTATTGGGGAAAAAGAGCCCCCAATGTTTCTCAAGCTCCGGGGTCTTCTGGTCCTCGTCGAACATAGCAAATATGTAAGTTTCGATTGGCTTTCCAGGCTTCTTGGGAGTCCCTTGCTTCACGTGCTGAATCAAATTCGAGTTGTAGATTCTCGCGTTGTCAATGGACGTTGCCTTCCCGCCAGCAGATGGCCAACCGCTCTCCGACACAACCACTTCTAGGGACCCCCCACCGGCTTTCTCTAGTGCAGAGTAAACAGCATCTAGAATTGCGTCAAACAAGTTCCGGTACCCAAGTGGTCCATCTTGCACCACGACCGAGTTCGCCGTGAACAGAGCATAGTCAAGGCGTTCCTGGGGATTGTTCGCATAGCTGAAGTACGGATAGAGGTTGACAAGCAAAGGGGACTTGTTGTTGACTAGGAATTGGATTATAGGATCTAGAAGCGGTCTGTGATCGGACTTAAGTGTGCCCTTCGATGGAGGAGACGATTCTCCTAAGATGATCGTGTCCACAGCTGTGGAAACCTTGATCTGGGCCCCGAGTCCGGCGTTCGAGATGGCAGTCTGGATGTTTCGCATGGCAGGGACGAGAAACTGGGCATTTTGAGAAGAAGGCTGCACTTCATTGCCAACTGCTATGTACCTGAACTTGACATTGCCATAGTTCTTCACATTGTTTTGGACCCAAGTGTTTGCATTGGTTTGGCTAGAGGCAATCCTTTGGAGGTCCTCATTGGGAAGGCCCAGCATGAGCTCACTGTTGGTGCCTCTAAGGGCTTGGAGAGCGGGCTGGTCCGGGCCATAGAGCCGCATCCTGCGGATATTGCGCTGGTTGTAGAGCGCAACCACGTCTGGCCGCGAAGGCAAGTTGCTGCCGAGCATTCCATAGCAAACCCCTATTTGAGCACCTGCATGGAATGGACAGAAGAGTTATTGCTTCAACGTATTCTAGACTCTTCTTACTATGTGAAAGAAAAGCTTGCAAGATCTAACATCGTTAGTTGAATGAAAGTTGTTGAAGGGATAAGTGGTCTTTCATACTGTCAAAGCAGGTTTAAGATCTTGTACTTCTAATACAAATGAAGCTTAGTTTTGTGACCTTACCAGCTATGACTTCAGGCATGGTCAATTCAAATAGTTTTTCCGACCAAAAAAAAAATTCAAATATTTTGGTAAGGCTACTTTTTTGAGAGGGCACAGATTTTCCCTTATATATTTCATGATTTATAGAAATTCTTCCGTAAATTTGCTTCATTTGGGCTAAGGGTAGAATAGTAAACCGCCCATCTATATACCATTCCATCCCGTGCATCTTTGATATTTGAACTGGATTTATCAGCATTAGTGATGCATAGATTACAATCATCAGCTTTGATGAGATTCCATTTCAGGGCCACAAGATACGTCCGCGGGCTGGATCGGCTCTATTCTATGCATAACATAATCAGCACATAAATCTATCACCACAAAGAAAGATGCCATGCATTACTTCCCTTTGTAATTGCTCAACCGTGAGGACAGGTCGGTGTAATCTCTATATGTCACCATGAATGCGAGTCTCAACTTGCTTATATAACTTATCTAGCTACCTCGGAGATCCTAGTTATGAAAGGAGAAAACACAGCACGAGAACACGCACGAAAGATCACGTGATACGAATGAGTAGACATTATAGTCCATTAAGAAGTAAAAAAGATTATATTCATTATCTTACTAACGAAATGAAATCATTGGATGATCTTTCCAGAGAGAGAGAGAGAGAGACGAGCCTGTTGTATCAAAATTAGCTGCTAAAAGAGCCAGTGTTAGCATGACAGAGAATATGGAAGATGTGAATGAAGCCATTTGAGACGGAGCGAGAAAGTTGCAGTTTGCAATCTCGGAAGATGCTCCTTTTTATATAGGGAGATGTGCATTGTATCACTACTTGTGCAGATTTCTAAGTAATGGCACGTGAAGACTAAGCAGTCTCCCTCTCTCCTTCTCCTCGCCACGTCCATCTGATCAAGACTTGATCATTTGCCAGGTCAAGTGCGCACCCCAAATGAAGACATATCTCTCTCTCTCTCTCATCCATGTGATCAAGACTTCATGGTCTGCCAGGTCCAGTACGCAATCCCAATGGAGACATCTTTGGAGTGATCTCCATCTGTAAAGGCTAATGGAATTTTCCCCTCCAGCGACTAAGACTAATTCGAAGTCCCACGAGGTCTACTACCGACTGGAACTCCAAGCTATCGTGGCATGAAAATCATTAGGACTTTGAAAAGTTGGCGGTGGCTAGTGCTAGAAATCAGGACATTTTTCCACGAATGGGAAAAAAAAACACGATGCTAGTAATAACACTAATCAAGAAATCATGTTTCCCTTGGGACACGGCAGCCCTTCGGTTTCGTGCCCGCTTACACAGTAGTCAAGCTATAGTAACGAGCTTATCCTTACAATTGCATGTGGAAACCGAATTCCGTAACGGATGTAAAACTCTCTAAGTAATGCGCTCGCACTCTCTTCACACGTGTGCATACCCACGACAAAAGGATAACTCTATCAGGCTCCTTGTACTCGAGGTGTTTGTTGTGGTTAACTTTTCGCTTTTCTTATATGAACAAGTGCATTGAAAACCTTTTGAAGGACTCCTCAATATCATGATTATCTTTTGAAGGACCCCGTCATTTTGAGCCAGATATTCTTCCGCTTCATGTTTAGCACAGAAAACCTTCCCGTATATGTTGTGTGTGGATCCTTCTTTCCAGATAATCCCATGATCACAGGCCAATTCTAAGACCTCAGATTCCAAGCAAAAACCCTTTCCAAACATGATTCCTAGTTCAGCTTTCTTCTTAACGGGTGCCAACTTATTTTTCACCACTTCCTCGCAAACCCGAAGACCAGTTGGCCAGTGAAATTGCCGCCCAAAAGTAAATGTCAAACAGATAATTAGAGATAAATACTATTGGAAAATCATAGTGCAAGAAAATTCTCTGTACAAACAATCTTAAGTTAGAAACTGAATTCCGTCAACTAATAAAAACAACACTCTGAAAGTCCAAACATTCTCATAAATACAGTTAAGAAAAAAAAAACTCCATCTTGAAGATCTTGTTTACGTAATCATTCACACAAATATTCAAATAGATCAGCTTTCCCTGTCGTGAGATTTTGGTAGAACCACTGCCAACTGTTCTAAAAGCTTAAGCTGTTAGATGAAGGCGTAGTTTAATATTTAATTACTTTAACACTCTCCTCCATGCTTAGTTTGGTCTTTTTGCCTAGTACTAAGCGTGGACATATTTAATTGGGGAGACAAATGGGGCCTGGAAAGATTGGAACTCAGGACCACCAGCTCTGATACCATATGAGATTTTGGTAAAACCATTGCCAACTGTTTTAAAAGCTTAAGCTGTTAGATGAAGGCATAGTTTAATATTTAATTACTCTAACACCTACAAATCAGAACAATATCGTAATGAGCAAATCCTGTCATACTTCTGCTCCCTTCCAAATTTTGAGAGCCTAACAAAAACATAATAGAGGACGCTATATGCTCCATCAATTAATTCATAGAAATTTGCACTGCCGGAACATATTAATAAATAATACTGATCCCGTGGAAAAAGTACATAGCACTAATTTGAGAAAAATCCTCTACTTCCAACAAATGAGTAAATGCAACTACTAGAGGGAGATTATATATATAGGCCCATTGAAATCCATTAAGTAAATGAACAGGGATACTTATGCACTCTAACACGCGTGCATCAAGGAGAAGATAAGTAAATTACCATGTGGCAAGCAGCTTTCCATCGTGGGAGAAAGAGCAGCCTAACAGTGGTCGATCATCACCAATCTCACTGCAATGCAAGGACAAGCTCTCTGCCTTTTTCAATTCCCAATCTATCTCTGCATCCACATCCTCATCGGGGCCGTCCCTTCTCCTTCTTGCACGTTCAAGACGCAGTGCAGCCCTCGCGATCGAAAATTTTGCAATATCTATTCTAGCATCCAAAAGAGCTTTAGAACGTTCGGTATAGAATGGATACTGAAGCATCTCTTCCTCGACATCCTCCGGTGCAGCGGAAGCAGCAGCCTCCTCATCCTCATGGTCTTTCATGAGCTTCTCGAGCTGTCCTTCAGTATCTAATTTAGCCATAAGCATTCGCAGCCGGTCCCGCCTTTCCATTTCTCTTTCCCCAAAGAGGGTCATAAGTTTCTCCGAGCCGGCGAAGATGGGCACGCACAGCCTTATCATTAGTGGGCACCGCCAGAGCAGCACCGCGGCGCTTCATCATCAGATCTTGCATTGCCTTTTCATGCCGCTCCCGCACCAGCCTGCTCTCTTCTGTAATCTCATACTCCACGGTCGACCCGGGAACAGCGCCTGCACGCCCTGCGTCATCATCGTCCGATTCCGAGTCACTACTGCTTCCAGCCTCTTCTTTCTTGGGTGAAGGAGGCCTGAGGCCTGAAAACGGGAGGGCGGATGGGCAGAGGCGCCAGAGGTCGAAGGACCGGAGGAACTGCAGGAACAGGAGCAACCGGAGGCGCAGCGGGAGGCGGGATTGCGGGCGGAAGGCTGGGCAGGGTGGGTTGAAGGGTAACGCCATCGACGGCAGAAGCCAGAGCCTGACTATCCACAGCGGCATCAGTAGACTCCGCGAGGGCATTCAAATCTTCGAGATCCTCTTCAACACCCATGACAGCTGACAAGACAAGGTTCAAAACGAGGCGCTCATCACAACCGGAGAGGAAAACAAAAACACCCAAAAGCTGCTTCAAGGGTTTCTTGAACGGCCGTACCGAATTCAAGAACGCTAGGCAATCGACTCGATACCGAGCCAACTCGAATCAACACTCCAGGCGCGCGTTGCTAGTGAAAAGAAAACCACATATCAAGCAGAACCCAAGCGAAACAGACGACCCCTTAACAATGAGACGGAAGCTGATAAGAGATTCAGCCACCCAAAACCCATCATTTTCAAGAGCAAATCGGGGAGGAGGAAGCAGAAACTGCACAGGGGAGGAACGCACGAAGGTTCAGGAAATCCTGGCGCACCAACAAAATGCCCTGCTACGTGGGGTGAGACAGGAAGAGAACCTGAAAAGATTGTCAGCTGAAGCTTCCTCTCGATCGTTTGGAGTGCACTGAGAGCGCAGTGCAGTGCAGGAGAACGAGAACGAGAACGAGAACGACGGAGCTCTCCAACCTCCGACGCCTCGAACGTGTACCAGCTTGGGCCTGCGCTCCTGCGAGGGATCACTAGATGGCGGGCTCGGGCTGAGCATCATGTGCCGAGTTGTCTCTCGGGCCGGGCCAATGGGCAGACCCGGCTCGTACGGGCCCGTCGCGGTCGGATCAGGCCCACGGAGGAAGCAAACGTTTGCGTGTACCCGACTCTCGTGTGAATCTAAAGAAACATCAAGCCGTCGTCGGATCAGCGTGATGCAGAATCCCGCACGAGGCTCGACAACTACGAAAGACATCGCATGTGCAATCAAGTTGATCGGTTCGAAATTAGCGAACTCCATATTTGTACACCTGATGCACGTGAACAGGACGATTCAAGCACATTCATAAAGATTTCATTAAAAAAAGAGAAAGAGAAAGAGCATGAAAGAGTTAGAGAAAGTATCGGGTAATAAATCCCGAATCGGTCGTTTTCTGCTAGAACACTAATAAAAGGAGACCTACTAATAAAAGTGATTGGGCGTGATGAATGGGACCGCAATAATGATCGAAAATCCTTGGGCTTTAACATCCTCGGACGAGACGACAACGGAGGACATTAAAAAACGCAAAAAGAGCTGAACATCTAAAGCTTAGATACTCCTAAAAGGTTTCGCATATTCGGTTTTTTCGTACGTGAGCATGTAAAGAACGGCGATTCTCTATTACACTTCCCCCCTGAACATTACGTCGACGATCGCCGATCGCCGGGAGCTCTGCTTCTCTCCTCTCTCCGATGACCCAATGGCCGTATCGCCGCCGGCGGCTCGAGGCTTGATCCTCTCCTTCGCATTTCTGCTGTTCCTGAACCTGCGTCCGATCTCGCCTTCGGCGGTCGGATCCGATCCCGGCACGCCCGGCTGTGCCGGTGACTACTACCGGGAGAAGTTCAGGGGCCGGGCGTCGCCGGAGAAGCGCCTCCCGGCGAGGCAGAGGTCGCCGTTCAAGATCGCCCTGTTCGCCGATTTGCACTTCGGGGAGGACGCCTGGACGGACTGGGGGCCCCGCCAGGACGTCAACTCCGTCCAGGTCATGTCCACCGTGCTCGACGATGAGGTTCCCGGTAAGCGCTTGCTTGGATTGGGTTTCGTTTTTCTTGTAGCGCGTTTCGCTTCGTGCTTGGCTCGGCCAGTGATTCGGCGAGTGTCGTGGACCGCCCGGATCCCGGGAATTGCGAGGATAGTTCATTGGACTCGTGCCTTGAGAATTTGAGTGTGCTGTGGGGGGCGAGCTCGAAACAGTTGAATGCGGGTCGTAAGGAGATCGAATATCCAAGAAGAGGGCGTTATGTGGTGGGTCGCAAATGACCTGTGGTTTGGTTTGTGCGCGTTGATGGTGATCTGGACTGAAGTTGGAAACGATGGAGACCTTGGAGTTGGCGAATACTTTGGAGACCTTATTTCTCATACCAAGCATGCCCACGTGAGCTTAGGGAAATCGAAATATGAACCGACGATATGTGACCCCAACGGATGGAATATCGGAGCAAATCGGTTTTTTTCTTTTAGGCTTGTGTTTTAAGCTGACTCGTTTGTTGTGGGATCAAACGGATTCAAATGGGCTTGGATTTTGGGCCCATTTTAAGTTCTATATATTGTACTTGTATGAGAGATCATTGTGACAAGTAGTTGTGATTGTAAACCTAAATATCATAGTGGAATCCTTTTGCAAGACGTAGCCCTATTCTGG